AGTCTCAAAGTGGGTTCCTCGTCATCGAATATGAAACTACATTTGTTTATCCTAAGTAACTTTAAACAGTATACATCTATGTATACTTAAATTTTATTGTCCATGAACCATGTCTAAGTACTAGTACTATTTGTGCCATTACAATATAATTTGTAAATCACTTGGAGGAACATATGGCTCATGTTACGCTATCGAGTTGCATTATCCACGAGCTTCTCATGTGTGCCTCATGAAAATTTATTACATTATTATTATTTATTTTACCTAATCTAACCTGAACTAACCTAAAGAGTTTCCTGTTTTTACATTTTAGTTACTTTTATAATAATAAGTAAACAATACACATGAAAAACAAGAAATAAAACACTTACCTGGTCCTTCTTTTTTTATTTGCTGTTGACTGTCGTTGCTTTTTTTTATACTAATGGTAGTAGCGCACTAAATAATTTTTATTTAATTAAATAATGCACCAAAGAACATGGAAGACAATGTCCCTTAACTATCACAATTTTTCTGGCTATCTGGCTATGTGAAAAGAGCCGTTACAAATTCATTCAAGCTAGTCGATGTATTTCCCGTGGGAACGAAGTTTGTACTGAAAGAGATATTAAAATTTTTCTATACAGAAAACAACGTAATATAATACATCATTTGATAAATGAAAACCTTGGCTTTCTGTTGATTAAAAATAATATTGTATTAAATGTAAGAGAGAACTATTAAGAAATGCTGAAAGAGAGGATGTGACAGGTGGGTGAGGCAAGAGGGGTCCAATTTTCTATTTAATGGCTCTGTTACCATATAAAATTGAAGGCTATGAAAATTATGCTTTATTTGTGTGATGAAAATATTATATTAAGTAATTTATGTTAAATTTCATACTTCTTGGAGGGGTGATAAATAAATTAGAGAAGAGGGGGATGCTTAGAGAAAAAAATGTCACATTTCTCATATTAGGGGAGATTCAATATATTTTTTAACATTGCCTTATAAAAGTAAGAACTTAAAATTTGTATACTATTAAAATATGGAATATTAGCTACGATTTCATGCTGTACTGAAAGTAGTATAAAAATTTGAATGTAACTCACTAAAAACCTCGTGACATGCACAGTAAAGGATGCCCATGGCGAGAGGGGTAATTACTGCTCAAAAGTTACTAGACATTTTCTTCTTCAAAAAGCCAAGACGTCCATGTGAAGAGAGTGGTAAGATCTCACCATAAAAAAGAAATAAACTAGATTAATTTGAAAAATGATTTGTGATGACCTTGTTCAGTTTTAATATCTTCAAGTCACTTCTTTCTGTGGTTAATCAATTGTATTATTCTGTGACAACTGATGTGTTTGGTATTTCTTGCAGTTTTGAAGTTTTACTTTATATACCAGGAACTATTTTGTTCATGAAATGCCACGTATCGTACAATTAAGTATTAGGGTTTGAAGTTGAATAAAAGTGTTATTAGAATAAAACATACCATTTACCTCTTTTTTCATTAGTTGATGTCTTTACAAAGAATTAAGACTTTTAGTGCTGGATTTAGATTCCATAATGTATTAAAATGATGAATGTTAAAAAGATGCTAAGCAGTATTTGCTAATTGTTAATCAATTCCTGTATAATTCCCTTTTGTGAGGATGTGGATTTTAGGCAGTCTTTTCCTCTTTCCTAAATATGCAAACACTTCTTCCAGTGCAGATGTAAAGTTTCCTCGACAATCTTTGTCCTTCCATGACTTTTCTTATCAGGTATGTTACTTTTCACTCTCTCATATGTCTTATTATTCTTTACATTCTTTTCTTCATTTGGCTCCTTCTTCAGAATAGTATGTTATTCCTCCTTTCCCTTATATCTTGGTCCATGCTGAAAAGCTCTTTTGTCTCAACTTCACTCTTGTGCCAACGTGCCTTGTCCTTCTCGACTGTTTGCACATATGCCTTGTCTTAAAATTTAATTGAAGCCCTTTTCTTGAACTCCTAAACTTTGGAGTCTCTTCTTCAGGCATTAGGTTCTGATCTATTGTCCTCTGTTAATCTTTCTCAAGCTCAGTTTTCTTGCCTTCAGTGTACCGTCATTACACTTTTATGTCATCTATCCTCCATCCATCTCCCTTTGGAAGTAATCCATTGTTTTCAGTGGACACTCATCACCTTCTGTTTTCTATGTTGGCATGTTCTTCCTTGGCCTAGTCCCTTCTCACTTGGTTACTCTGTTGCTGGGGTTTGTTGCAGAAGGACACCCTTCTTGTGTAAGCATGTTTATCTCCTCCTTATCTCAGGGACTTTCATCTGGCTCCTTTCCTCTGCCAGTTGGTTTTTGGTGGGGTACCTGATTTTTTGTAGTCATGGGTTGAGGCTGCATACCAAAATTTTTCCTTCACTACACTTGTTTTCCATTTTTCTCAAGCTTCTTCTTTTCCAGTTCCCATCTCCCAACTCTTTTTCTGCTCACTTTTCTGCCATCGTGTTCATCTTTTGCCATTTTTTTCTTCCACTATCCATAGGTTTCAGCACTGACACTCTTGTCAGTGACTATCTTCTTGGATCTGAGATAGTGGGGATCTATTTGACTTGATTTGTGGATCTATGGGATTCTTTTTGCAGCTGATTGTTGGGAGCTACATGTTTTATCCATTAGCTTTACCCTTCATTTTTCTTATCCTCCCCCTTTGTCTCATATTCCCATTTCTTTCCTTCCTCCAGGGTATTCTTTTTCTCTCTGTGGCATTGGCAAATCTTTCGGTCAAGGATGCTATTCAAGGGGTTTGTCACCCTTGTCTATGACTTTATTCCCATCTGTTTGTTTTTCCCCACTAAACCAGAGATTGGCATCTAGTCATCATTCTGTCCCATCTCTGTCAGTTTCTTGACCTTCCTCATTTTATTGTGATGAGTTTTCTCACCCTTCAGTGGTCTTTCTCTCCTAGGCTTTTGATGAACAAGGTTGATATCTCTGATGCTTATCTTATCATCCCCCCCAGTATCCAGATTTTGATCTTTGGTCTGTATATCACAGTCAAGTTTTTTCATTGTGTGTGCCTTCAATTGTCACATACATGGCTTGGAATTGAGATTCTACCATTGTATGGATGACTGGCTTCTTTTAGCTGCATCCCAGTAGATATCCTCTGACAATACACTTCTTCAGAAGGCATCCACCCAGTATATGGTTTATTTGCATATGCTCATCATTTTCTGTCTCAGCAGGGCACAGTCTTGTCTGCTGTGTTTGCGGGTCATAGAAGGTTTGGTTTCTATAGTATCCTCTCCTCTTTCTGTGTGAGAGGTTTTCTATCTATTGGGGACTTGGGTTTCCTTGGAACCCCTTATTCCTTTGGGTTTTGCTAACATGCATCTTTTAGTGTGGACTCTACATGATTAATGGAACCTTTCTCTCGGGATCCTTTTTCTGGAATGGTCCTTCAGTCCTTGTGATTTTTAAGGCATTCCTCACATCAATGCCTTTGCCATTTATGACAGTGTCAAGTTCCCCCTATTCAGGTCTCCTGTTCTGCATACATTGGCACTGGTGGTGGATGTGCTCAGTCAGGAATGGTCTAATTTTTTCCTTTGTGCTTACCTCCCTATTCATCTCTTCCTTTGAGTTCTCTCGCTCATTTAGGACACTCCTTATCTGGTTTCCCCTGCTGAGCCTTCTGACTTTCTCCTCTACTCTTACTCTTCTGCTTTCCTGCTCCTTTCTTCTTTAGCCTCATCCTTCTCTCTTCCATCCAGCTATGTCATCACTCTGGCTTCATCCAGTGCTTTCCAGAATGGTCAGAACCCATTCTGTTTTCTTTAGAAGTTTATCAGTGGAAGTGGTATATTTATTGTTGCTGGTTTTTGTGTTGATCTTTCTCACATTTTCATTTTTCATCCTTCTGTTCCCCACCTATGTTTTTCACATGGATTTTTGACCAACACTGGTCTATCTTGACTATTTCTGGTTAGCAGGTAGCTCTTTTGAATACTTTCTGGTTTTTCGTTCCATCAGGTTTTTTCTTTCCAGCCTTTTTCTTTCTTCTTGCCTATCTGATTGTGTCCTTAATGTTGTTTTCCTTGCCCTTAGCCTACCTCTCTTTGAACTTTTGGTTTCTTGTTCCTTTTACCATCTGTCTCTTAAAACTTATTTCCCTCCTCCTCCTTGCCTGTGGTTGTCAGCTTTCTGATGTGTACTTCATAGATTTTTCTCATGTTCTATTCTATTGCTCCTATATCCTTCTCTATCTAGATCATACTTTTCCTCAAAAGTCTATAGTGCATAAGGTGATAATGCATTCACCAATATATCTCATCCTTCCATTCCCATTGAGATTCCAATTGCATCTTCTGTCCTGGTCTGTTGTTATTTGGACTGCACTTCTTCCTTTTGTGGTTTCAGATCTCATCTCTTCCTTCTATAGAATCCTTCATCCACTCACAATCTTTCTCCTGTTACTCTTCTTACTGGATAAGTCCAACAGCTTATCCAGTTACCATATTCTTCATTGGATTGAGGTGAATGTTGGCATTTCTAAGTGTCCTCCAATCAAATTTGTCATCTGACTCACTCATTGGCTTCTCACTTCCATTGTCTGTTGAAGAGGATAGTTTGGGTTGACATGTGGATGACCCCTCTGATCTTTTTCACACACTATCATCATTATCTGGTCATTTCTTTCTCATCTGACTATAGACTGCCAGAGTATACTTAACCAAAATCCACATTGTGTAGGGCTGTTCTGACCCAATATAGTGCTCATTCATGAGATGGGCTGTGCCACAAGACTGCTCAAGGTATCCTCGCTGCATTTATTTTCCTTAACAAGGCTCAGCCCTGGCCATACCCACTCATGGAATAGCACGAGTAAAGCTGGCAGGGGATTCCTGCCCATCCTCCATGTCTTGTTTAAAACCTAGTACTGGTCTGCTTATAAAAACTGGGATTTTGTTATCACCCATTGCACTTTCTTACGTTGGTGCTCTCCTCTGAACATCACACCACACTTTTATCCTCCATTTTTCTTATAGTGGAGCATAGATGTCCTTACCACTCACCAGTTCCTAGCTGCTGGAGTAGTGGACTAAGAAGAATGCCTCCTGAGTGTTACCAATTCCACTCAGTAGAGGGTAAGAGAGTGGTGTTCTGTCTGTGTAGTACAGTTTACCCCTCTGGGTGGCTTTCCCCCATCTTACCACTACCTGGCAGTCCAGTGTTGGATTGGTGCAGGACCAACCAACATAAGTCTTCACTCAGTTGGAGGATGATTGTTACTTTCCTGTTCTACCTCACTGGTCTTGAGGTGAAGGTGCTAGGAACCCTTTTTTTACTGTGGCTGAGAAGCTGAACTCCCGGTGCTGCATGGTTTTGGACTGGAGTTGATTCAACATGTATGGCCTGATAAACCCTAGCCATGCTATACATATAACACATCCTGATGCTAGTTTTAGACTGTGCTTCTATCTTGTGTCCATCCTTGCAACATTTCCTTTCTGGGCAAAGAGTTGTACACTGGTATAAACGAGAATGTGTCCCTTTACTGATCTAAGGTATAGGGTATCACACTCCATGGGTTATCTTTGAGTGCTTCTTGAAGGGGGATCATCTAAATAAACTTTTGCACCTATCCTATCTTTCCACCATTTCAACGTGGGATTCTAGCTAGATGTGAGAAGAGATTACGTGTTGTATCAAAGTTAACATTTTCTAACACTGAAAATGTATTTCTGACAGATATGCACCTCCTCTCACACTTCCCACTTTTTTGCCTAATCTCTATAAAGGGAAGCAGTGTCATACTTGTTTTGGTGGATAGTTGTTCCATGCAACCATTGCAAGAAACATGTGAGATTAGTTGGGAGCTTCAAGGCTAGTGAGGAGTCAAAAAGTTTGCATATAGAGGCAGCACTAAATCAGGAAAACTAGATGTGGGTGGAAGTGAGTATCTATCAGAAATACAAGTTAGAACTCTGCTTTCAAACATTCTGCATATGGGCGTGCTATTATATTAAAATCTTGTGATGTATTATAAGAAGTAAGAACATGTTAATACTGCATCTCTGTCAGACAGGATGAACCATCCTGCACACTGCATTCTCAGTTTGTGCTATCTTTGAACTTCAGTGCTCTTCAATAGTTTCGGGTACTAGTGAATAGTTATGTCAGCACATAACAAAAATGCATTTACAACATGATGAAAATTAAAGAAATGTACAAAAAAAGTGGTTAAAATTATTGCAAGGGAAAATTATATGGTCAACATTTTGGCTTATATATTGTAAGTGTGAGGGTTTTTGGCAGCACAAAATCATAAATATGTCTGTTGTGTAAAAAAAGAAAGTATAAAATTAAATTATTTTGATGATATGATGTGTAACAAAAGCTTTGAAGGAATGACTTTGTAAGTACCAAACTAATCATTTCTGCAGTAGAATAGGTTTCATGGTGCATGCAAAGTCAAAATTGTGTTGTACAATGTTTTGATGATGTTTCTTGTAGATGGCTACCCAAATTTAATGTTTATATTGAAATATTTGCAGAGAATGAAATGAACATAGTTGAGGTTAATTAAAAATATTTTTTGTAAGGTGACATAAAATTAAGGTAAGAAAATAAAGTCTATTAATTATTCTGTGAAATTAAAAAACTGTAAATGTATTGAAAGAATTACATTATAGGATATATGACAAAGTAGTTACATAAAACTTACTTAGATATTTTTGTTTTTATTAGAAACAAAAGATCAGTTTGCAAGAGATGATCCAGCTTTCTTAGTTCTACTGAGTGTTTGGCTAATAGGTAAGTTGGTTTAGGAATAGAACAAAGGGAAAGTATAGTTTACAAGGCTTGAATTTAATGACCAGCAAACAGAAACTGCAAGTCATTGTCAGTCAAGAAATACATGAGTATTTATAACAGTAAACATGAACTGTTTATTAACTCTTTAAATCTGAGCAAATGCTACAAGCGTCTAACTGAAAATACTGATTTGACTGGGACAGTGTCTGAGAGCATTTATGTCTTTTTGGCTGAAAACTAATCCAAACCATATTGTTATCCATCTTTTATAAATAGACCTGAAGTTCTGTGAAGTCTGTTTATAAAAGATGGATAATAACATGGTTTGGATTAGTTTGTTTTGAAGGAAATTTCAGATCAGTGGCAGAATGCGCCAAAAATTATGGGTTTAAAGAGTTAATAATTGGCCTCATATACAGATTATTTTGACATTGATTATTGTGGCCAAGTTGAATCCCTATTTGATGAAGGTAAACTACTACTTTGTAACATCATGTGGAATCCCAGCTATTCTACGCACTAATTAGATAACAGACAGAACCAAGTCATCTGTAAATTGAGGGCCAAACAGTAACATAATATGAATAATGATAGTATTGCATACTTTAAAAATTTTAATTTAAACATAAGATATTAACAATTTTTCACAAGCAGTCACCATTTGTTCATATTGTGATTCTGTTGGGGGAAATTCTTTTTAAAGATAATCTATCTAAACATTTTCTACTTGGCAAATTACCAATGTTGAGATAATCATGCCTCCCCATTTTATTTGTTAATGGAATATGCAGTAATTCTCATTGCTCTTGTGTAAATCAGATAAGTTAATAATCAAATAATGAAAATTTATTTTACTATCGTTGAAAACAGTAATAATGTTTTTATTTAAAATACATCACAATTGAAATTAGAAGTAAGTAAGTAGCCAGTTTATTTGTGTACATTGTAAGAATATGGTAAACATAAAAATAATATTCAAAAATTAAGATTTGAGTCATTAGAATATTTTGCCATCAACTACCATACTCACTAAACCTATTTAAATTTATCATTAAAGAAAATGTATGTAGCTTTCAACCAGATACAATTTAATATGCAAACATTTTCATGAAAGAAAAGAACATCTAAAGAAACTATATAAGAAAATCTCATAAATGTTGTTTATTCCTTAAGTCTCCAGAATTCCCTATGTAACTAAGTGGTGGCATATCAAGGACAGGAGAAGGGCATACAAAAAAAAAGCATCTGCAAGTACAAAGAATGTGCAATGACTCTTACAAATATCTAATGATGATGAAGTTAGGAGATAGTAAAATGAAACTTGTTTTATTAATATCTTTGTTGATACAGTGCATCAGTTGTAAAACAAATAAGTGATGTTGCTAACAGAAGAGAATAATCAGTTATGAGAAAGTAAAAGTTTTGAAGAAAATATTTTATTTTGTTTACTTTCTTACTTAAATGTTTAATTTTATTACATATTCTGTCTAAAGAAAACATTGCTACTTTAAAAAACTGACACAATGTGAGGCATAAGTGAGTTTCAAATTCATTTTATATATACTTTAAAATTTTCTGGTCAAACTCAAATTCAAAATTTGGGCATTCAGTTTATATTGTGTCTTTAATCTACAGTTGATAATCATTCCCAATCATTTTACAAGTTAGTTATTGATTGATTATGGATAATGCAACTTTTATGAAGTACATAGTTGGAATTTGTATGTATTGTATTGAAATAAACAGCTATATTGTTATATTAAACACATTTTTCTTATAAGTCCTTGTGCTCATAACTGTTATACTGTTCATTTGCAAAGCTGATTTCATTGTTATCTCTTGTTTGAAAATTCATGACAGTCACCAGCAAATAGGAATTGTCTTCCAAAGTGTTCAGAATTTTGTAATTTGTTATTGTGTACCATTATTGTTGTTGTTATTTTTTCACATATCTCTGGAGAAGAAGATAAAGGATAAATTTCTTGTTTTAAAATGTTGTTAGTTGTGTGATGTACAATATAAAGCCCACAAAATATATAACATTGTTAAAGCCAAAGTGGAAGTGAGTATTGTATCAATAGCCATTTACTAAACTTATGAGGGTTTATTTTGCTTCAAGTTTAAAGATATGTTATATACATGGAGACTATATAGTACTTATGACACAGGAATGAATGGAATAAAACTAAATTTTATTTGACATGAGATCTTATACCATGCTAATTTAGATTTGTTTTATCATTAACCACAATAGTGGTTCATAATAGGGATCACAAGGAATTGCACAAAACCCTAATTGAATGGTCGGGCAAAAAACACCTTAAACAGTAAAGATTCAGTTCCAACAACACTTTAAAACCTTCACTATTGACTGCTAAAGCTGTACACATATAAAAATGCGCAAAAAAGAATGTATTTTAGACTTATTATTATTATTTTCTTGCCAGCCTACAATAAAAACAGCTTGGTATATTGCACCCAAACCTTTTGTAGAATACTAAATAAGGTACTGTGAAGGTCTTAGGGGCATTGAAAAGTCGATTTGTTTCTTCTGTATTTTACATAAGTTAAAAAACATAATTCTTGTGTAAATGATGTTATCATTACCTCTTGAAGTTAGCTTTGTTACAAATATCTGGTCAATAATAGATGAACATTAGATGACTGTAATATGTAGATACTCAATGCTTTGTACATTATACAATCGGTGTCTTTAGGGAACGAACCTCTATATTATATATGAAGTGAAGGAGTAAAAAAAAATTCAATATACATATTAAATTCTATTACACACATTTGTAGAATAATTACTTTAAAAGACACAAAGGGTTATTTAAGCAATGTTTTACACTTGTATGTTTTATATGAAAAGGCTATTTTACTACTGGTAAAATATTTTTTCACACTTAGTTGGGTTGTGTCTTAGTCTAGGTATATATTTGCCCACTGCTATGCATTA